ACTGAAAGTTTAAGTGCTCTTTTAAGATAATCTGCTGTCTTATTTATTGATCATCTATCTATTGAGACTAAAACATACGTTCGCGTAAACCTGCCAGTATTCAAAGTGATATAGATTATTAATATCGGTCGCACATATGCCTTATTGAATAGGCCGCCTCACCATATTGTCAATCCTCTACTGGCATGTAAGTGAAGCTACGCGAAAATTTATGTCGTCTTGCGGTGGCTCAAGTCGCCGTTACCGCCATGCCCTGGTACCCCGTTGTCTAAACTCAGTCACAACCACCCAACTTAGCTGTCGTGTGGTTCTATACCACGCCTAACAATGCGGCTCTTTACTCTTTCGTTACCAGATTTGATCACTGAATGGTAGGTTTACTCCACTATGGATGCCACGCTGTTCTTCACACTGACGATGATGTAAAAGAATCCGAGGCTATGAGTAAGAAATGCCTGAAATACTCATTTCTAAGGGGACCTGCCGGCATACATTATTAACGATAAAGCGTTACGACTACTGTTGCTAATTGTTGTTAAAGCTGTTTGTATCTGGTAAAACACCGTAGCTTATCACTTGCATAAATTCATGTTAATCGGATTAGCAATTTCACGAAGGTATTACCGTGTTCTAATGATCAATATCTTTCTAATTCCAGGTGGAAGAAAACGAGAATGTCGTACAGTACGCATTAAATAAAAGAAAGGTGTCGCTGGTGGAAACCAAGCTGTTCGGTGAAAAAGGATTCACAAGGTGAGATGTGTTATATATATATATATATTTGACACACTGATTTCTATCCGGTGTACAGCTTTAAAGGATTTCATTTCAATCCCAAGATGGAACGAACAAGAAGATTCTATCCCCACAAGCACAATGTGGATGGTTTCTTCGTAGCAAAGCTGAGGAAAGTGGCCTGAGGCGCTGGAAGGATGTACATAAATATTGTATACATAAATAAATGCTCAACAAAGAAATGCTCTGATCTTGTCTATCTCGTGTGGGGGACTTGGGAGGCACCTGAGACATGCTATTCACGATTACGTTTTTCACTTAGTTCCTCAAAAAGCGCTCTCACTTCGGCTTCGGTTATGACCTGGAAGAGATGAAAAAGGCGCCAGATACAAAAGAAAGTTAACTGTATGCGATAAAGAAGTACAAATTGATTTTGGTAGAATGTGCTCGAATATTAATGATGATCGGGTAATGATTTATTCTTAGATTAATTAATACCCTACATACTACTAAGCAAGGAAGAATGATATGGAATAGCCACGAGTAGCTCATCATTTGATTTCAAGCGAAGTAGCGTAGTGAAATGCATGTGTAGACTTTTGTGCGATGTTTGTTACGAATAGCGAACATCCTGATCACACATTGCTATGTCCCGAAAGCATTGTTTGAAGTAAAGGAGGATGCCAAAATGCACCACACACAGGTGGCACAGAGTGACTTCCGAAAGTTCGGTTGTCGTTATGGTAGTAGGATAAGAAGAAAACGCGGACGCTTCATCCATGTTTTTACAAATGATAGTTCATCTACCAAACGCGGATTTCAGTGTCTGATTCAAGGCATATAGTCATCATGAACAACAGATAACACGGGGGAAAATAGTAGTGAAGGGATACGTCAGCACTTACACGATTGTCCTCTAGTTTACGCCGGAAGAACTCTGACAGTGCTTTCTTGAGGTTGTTCACTCCTGTCGTAGGTGTAATCAAATAAAATGGTACAGATGATAAGCAATGTAACAGGTTTCCGAAAAATCGCGCGCATGAATTGTTGATTATTGAATCGGCTTCCCGAAGGAGAACCATCACGTTGTATAAGCGAGTAAATAATTCAAGTAGCGGTGTTGGATTTTGTCGGTCGCTAACACTGTATGCATCACTGTCTTAGGGACCTGCGATTGCCAAAAGCACAAGTTGAAATACACGTTTTTATTACTTCCGGATTCACGTTAATAAACGATCTACGGCGAGTAGAGCTTTTTTGATGTTAATTACTTATGGTACTGCGGTAGTAAAACTGAAATGTCGATTTGGGCTTTTGCGAATGTCTACACACCGGTCCAAGAAACGCTGACGCGCAAACTAACATGCCAGATTTGCACAAACTCCAACAAGAATACAAATACAAGTACAAAAGCTAAACTTGAGCCGGCTATTAGTAGATGTCTAAAACATTTCAACGAATACATCTGGAACCTAAACATGATCTCGCGTGATGTCTCATTTATTGTATTAGATAGGAAGTTATGATCTCAAACAAATTACTTTTCAATCATAGCTATCAACGTGAATGTTACAATTTTAATTTAAAAAAGTGGATGATCACAGGGTAGTTCCCTTTGGCATCAACGCTTTCGTGTAAAATAACAAACGATAGCAAGTGACGGTAATACGGAAACGAACAGATTTCTCCAACCGAACATACCGGCAGCGACTGAAATGGCAACTGCGTGTGGTAACTCAGCAAGAGCAGCGTCAAGAGCATCTTTCTGCTCCTTATCAAACTGAATGGCTTTCTTCTCCCCGAGGTTCAAATAATGAGTTATCGTGTCCTCTTTATCGAGAAGAAATTCGACGTGCTGTTCTTTGTACATAGCCTGCATGAAAAGAAGAACTCAATGACCAATCGGTTGAAAAAGTTGATAAAATAAAATGCTGACTATATGGAACAATCGTCCGTAAATCAGAACGAGCTTATTACGTAGAGGGGCTTTAAATAACCCATGAATCTAACAATTGCAGTCCCGGGATCTGCGCGCTGTGAATATAAAAATGACCGACAGTGGGTGAAGATCCCGCGAGCCTGAGCAAAAACGTGTTTGCACCTCTGCGTGGAACAAATTCAGTCAACTAGCTGACCTCTCCACACACTTCCCTTAACGTACTGGTGCCCACGCCAACAGCCTTGACCTAATTCTCACATACAAATTCTTTTCTTTCGTTGACATTACTTCATTTCCCCCTCTCGGGTCATCAGAGTATTACCTCATCTCTTTTTTCAGTCATTTATGAAGCCACGTTTCACCAATTATCTCTAGAAGCACCTTTTGGCGTTACCATTCAAACAACGGGTGATTTTCGTGACTTTCTGGCTAGTCATCCCTGGAAGGATTGTTGTTTCAAATCTGTCTCCTTTTTTTTAAACTTCACATAACTTGTTTTCCAATGTATTTGCCTTCATGCTCCACACTTTTCCAAGCTCGACAAACCACGATCCCATGAGTGGTTTAATCATGCTTGCAACCGTGCTGTACGTTTTAAAAGCTCAGCATTCCGTCTTTCGTACCACTCACCCAATCCAGCATCCTGAAACCGCTTCGTGCAAGCCATAAAAAATGCTCGCTCACCATACGGAGAACTAAAGAACGCATTTGCCACAAAGCTAAGCGCTTGGTTTCTTTCGACACTGGTAACGTAACAGTCTCGTCCCTCGCGTAATCTCTGCTCTTCCACATCCCGTCCTATCCGCCATTCGTCAGGCTCTCGTGTTTCGGAACATCACGAAAAATATTTCCTTTGCCTTCAACCAATCATATCTACGGACTCTACTCTTCGTTTCTTCTCCCATACTTTCTACCTCTCTCCGCGAAACTCTGTGATTTGTGTTTTTATGAACCGCCTGATTTCATCCATCGATCTAGAAGTGCGAGCCCCTGTTCTACACCACCTTTACTGTTCTTCAAAAAAAAACAAAGCTTCCCCACTCCGTGGAAAAATGCTATTATTTTTCCGATCTCAACCAATATTCATCCATCAATCTGAATTCTGTAGTTTCCCCAATTACCGACCAACTCTGCATGAGGTTTCTTGAACATAAGCGTTTGGTGAATGACAGTCAAAAGGATTTTACCCTCGTCGTCCCGCGGCCGATGTAACGGAACCTTGCACAACCATTAACCATGCACTTTCGTGCGCCGGTTTTGTTTGCTGTCTTCTGGCTGAACAGTAGGGGAAACATAGGAGAGTTGGAAGCAAAGAGAGAATGGACAACTTTGGCGGACTAAGGTCGCAAAGAAATTCAGAAGACGCACGAACGCCAAAATTTACGAAAATCAGTCATATCAATCAGCGTCTCCAACTATTGGTTACGATCATCTCAAAGTACTCAACCAGAAAGCTTAACAGAACCAATCGATCCAGTTCCCCGATTAGGGTGTTCGTACTCTCCTGCAAGGTCCTAACTTGACCACATTTCCCTTGATTCCAACCGCTACCTGCCTCGGTGAACATCGCTCGCCGTGGTAACCCACTTAGTGACATACGTAACACATGCCCCAAACGGATGTAATCTACGAAGGTTAACCACTCGCCCCAGTGGGCAACAGCGGTTACCTAAAACTCTCCGCCTAACCTCAGCACTCCCCGTTCGGCTGCTCCGTCAGATTCGTGCAATGCTGCATAGACAACGGTGTTCAAAAAGAAAGACAGTTTATTTGTTCTCCTCTTTCCCCGATGGCTAATTTTCTGCGCCGTATAGCATAACTGGTCGAACTGCCGCGGCATACACTGAACCCTTCACAGACAGACGAGCGTTGCGACGGCGCCACAGATAGCTCAGGCTGGCAATTGCCAACCGAGCCTTCTGTATGTGAGCTGACACATCACCTGTGATGCGTCCACCGAGTGAGATGTAGCTGCTCCATTAACAAAATTTATTCATTTGCTTTATTTCTCCGCTATTTGGAGCGCGGTTGGGTGCTGGACCAACCCAATCATTTGGTAATATTTCACACTTTGAACGTGCAAAACGCATACCGAACATGGCTACGCTGGCACTCAAGCTACCCACAAACGCTTGCGACTCACCTGGGTCTTCACTAAATCGACTCTGCTACCCCCACTCGAGGATAGGGCTGTTTTCATAATCAAATCTATAACAAAGTTGAATAGAAAAGGAGAGATAAGGCAACCCTGACGAACACATTCCGTGGGAACTCGAGCGAAATAGTGCCGTAAGCTCGGACTCGGCTTCGACTATTAGCATAAAGGGATTGTAATGTTGAAATAAACTTCTCAGAACACCCTTCAGCGAAAGGTAGCGCCAGAGTTTAGAGCGGTCGACTGAGTCGAAATCCGCTTTCAAATCGAGGAGGACAGAGATGGTGGGTCTACGAAAAGAATATCGGTGCTTCAGAATTTGGCGAAGAGTGAAGATGTGGGGGATACAATCTCGATCAGGTCTGAAAACAATTTGGCTCTCAGGCGAGCATCGTTCACGTGCGGTAGAGAGTAGGATGTTTAAAGACGATGTTGATGAAATCAATCCTTTATGGTTTTCACGAAAAGACCTATTGCTTTTGTTGTAAATCGTTAAGATGACCGATTCATACAATTTAGTTGGAACCCGTGCCGTACTGAGCTCGGGAGTTTTGTCAACTCCAAGACTGATGCTGAGCTTTCATCCTCAGACGATTTGCTATCTAGTTACAAATTGATGCCACTATTCCCGGAAGAGGGCGGCTGTTTCAAGAATCAAATCTATGAAGATTAAATAGAAGCGGAGAACATCGTTTTCTTCTGTGAACTCGAGCGAAGAAGTGTCGTACGATCGAACTCCACCTCGGGCATTCGTATAAGGGAATCGCAACATTGAAATAAACATTTCGGGCAAACTCAATCGGGGGAGGGGAGTATGACCAGGTCCCAAATCAACGTGGTTTTAAAATTGAGAACCGTTCACGTGAGGTAGACAGTCGACCAAGTAAGACAGGGACCGAAACTCCGAGGTGATGTTAATTTACATTTTCTTCGTTACACCCGTGTGTGCTGAACAACAGACGGGATAAGCCTTGTGGTCACCAGGATTTGTTGTTCCTTTACCGAAGCCGGCAATCCAAGCTGAAGACTTGGACTGGTGTGTCACATAAGGCTCCACTGGGTTAGCTAAATCCTATAAAGTTCCTGTCAATTGCTACGACGACTGATTTACGCCACGCTCTATGTTGAACCTAGGTATTTGGTCAAATGTACAATGTAATTGTACACAAAAAGGCAATGGAGACAACCCAGTCGGGCCCGAAGTCTTATGAACGTCTCAAGTAACCTCCATTTCAGGGTGACAATTGTTTTCCAGTTGAAAATAGTGGTTAGCAAACCTAAAGCCGACGAAGCCAGTTGAACTGTATCCTAAAATGTTTTATCCTTTAATCCAGACGGCATTGTTGAAGATGCATCAGTGTACCACTTGATTACTTCACTTAGGTCCACTTTCAGCGGGCTCAAAATCGGAACTCAAGGAAACATAAAAATTGCAGCAAATTAAAAACGCAGATGCATTAAAGGACCTTAGCCCCAACGCACAGCATCACAACCAGAAAGATAGTTCGCTCGAGGGCTCGAAACTTACCAGGATGGAACAGGTAGAATAGACGATATATCCACCGACTTTGCACGCATCAATAGCTGCGAGGACAAGCTCCTTTTGTAGTACTGTGCAACGCATTATATCTTCGTTTGTTTTTGATGCCTTCACAGAAGGATCCTTGGCAATAATACCGGTACCGGAACATGGAGCATCTAACAGGACACGATCGAAATTTTTCATTATTTTCGGAAACACCCGTCCATCTTCTACGCAAACGATTGTATTCACAATGCCCATACGGTGACAGTTTCCTACAAGGGCTTTGGCACGAGCAGCATTCACTTCGTTAGCAAATAAAGTCCCCGTGTTTTTCATTAACTGAGCTGGAAAAAAGAAAGCGCAAACAACGTTCGTTAGGTAAGAACAACAATTGCTCAATATTATCACCATCGTACGCCGAAATACAGTGAATCGAACTTCACTTCGCTGCCAAGTTCAAAATAGACACAATGGAAACGAGGATGTGAAAGGTGGATAGGGATCGAATCTATTTTGAGGGAGAAGAGAAAGCGAATCTCTGTTCAACACATTCAAACTGTACATTTACTTTTTTCAGGCATTTTGGCCTGATTAGAAAGGGCAACATGAACGTCGGTTCGTCACTATTTCCTTCGTTATCATCAACCAACTAGTTTTCTGTATCTCAGCTCGAAAGCGGGGAACACCCACTCTACCTAATCAGAGTTACTTTTCTTATGCCCGGTTTCCAGCTCATCTGTTGACCTACACTCGATTCCCCCCCCCCCTTATTGAGCAAAAAATGTGAACACAGCTCCATGAAGTCCTGATCAGCGAGACTAACTGATCTGAATTCCATATGATAAAGAATACTCCACCGAATCATTAAGAAATATGTATCAGCTTATCCTATCTACTTAATCTGCTCAAAACTACGTAAACATCAACAATCGAAAACCTGTAGGCGATGGATATGTATGAAGAACAAACATAAGCTCTTGCAACTGTAAAGTAGGACGAAAGCACTTAACGCGCAACCTTCTAGGATAAACAAAACATCACGTTGGTGCATCGTATGTTACTCGAACTTCGGAAAAGCGTGTAGTTATCTCCTTCACTACGCTATCATTGATCACACAATGCCTAGATACGGGGAGGTCTCCGAAATCCTCAGTACCGTCGGGGGTGGGTGTCTAGGGTTGCGGTTAGTCACACTACAGTTGCGCCCAAACGACCAAGCACTTCCAATGGCCTCTGCTCAGGAAACCCAACTCACAGCCTTCTCACCAAAGTGGGAGAACGAATAGCAGACATTTGGGACTGTAACTGGGTTGGTGGACTATTGGCATTTCACCTGGGGGAGTTAGCCAAAAATCCTGGTTTCAAACCAACCAAGAAGAGGAGTACGAATCATAACCACTTCTTTTCGGTTTTAGCAATGATACCCGGCTCAATTGGGCACCTGGACGTTTTACCCCGTCCGAAGGGCACATAATCCGATGAACTGGACACCGGTCCCCAATGGATTGCGGTTTTCACACCGCCCCGCTACCTTGCGGGTCAGATTTGGCTAGCCGAAGGCTCCGCTTGTGAATTCCCAAAGGAAATTCACATCCCTTGATCTGGGCAACCTGGCAGTATTCAGCCTATAAGCCAATAACGGAACGTTTACCTTTTTATCAAGTTTGTTGTACAATAATTTCCTTGGCACACATTCTGGCCTCAGACAAGTGTGAAATATAATAATATGATAGATACGATGAGCAACCGAAAATAAGCGATATCTGATCATTTAGTTTCGAATCGGAACTAACCGACACAACCTCACGGGATTGATTTACAAGAAAGGTGTCGAATCTTCTTGTGAAAACCACAGAGGATGGATTTTATCAACATCGTCCCTAAACTTCTCGTTGAAATCATACTCCGTCGACTGTCTGCCGCACGTGAACGATGCCCGCCTGAGAGCCAAATTGTTTTCAGACCTGATCGAGATTGTATCCCCCACATCTTCACTCTTCGCCAAATTCTGAAGCACCGATATTCTTTTCGTAGACCCACCATCTCTGTCCTCCTCGATTTGAAAGCGGATTTCGACTCAGTCGACCGCTCT